TCTGAATTAGAGACAGTTGTATCAATGTGCTTTACCTATAAATGAGCAATTAAAAAGTATTAACATCAAACAACTGTGGCCAGCCATTTCAGTGTAGATGTATCATTCCCTAAATATAGCTAATTATTATCCCACTGTCAGACTCTGACTCTTGTCCTTTTTCTTTTCATTGGCTTTGTCATTTTCTAGCTGGTTTTGGACGTTCTATCTCAGTTTCTATTAAATTCAACTTTCCAGTAGATCTGTACAGTACAACCTGATAACACTTTGAAGACATTCTGGTCTTGGCTGTGATATGGACAGGTATATGCATTTTCTGCTAGGGGCGGATCACAGTATATGATTAAGTCCATACTTTATATTGCACAGGCAATGCATTGGATAAAGATGTTACCTCAAACAAGGAAAAAGTTGTGGTACCAAAGAGGCTCTGTAGGGGTTTTATTGTCTGCTTAACTGCTGAGATTAATGTGTTCAAATGCTGCCAGACTTTTTATGGTTAGATGAAATAAAAAAAAAAAAAAATCAACAAACCACCATTAGAATAGAAATAAATATTCAGTGCATTCAGGGAATTTTACTTAGAAGAAAGAATTTAATTAGTTAACAATTTTGATCCCATAATAAAGGACAAAGTGTAAACTGAAGATAAAGGAGAATTCCATCCCCCTAGTGGCTTATGATTTTTAGAACATTTTGTTTGTTTAAATCTTATTTCATTTTCCTGTGTCTTACAAGCAGGATTTTGCTATAGGTCAAACCCAGTGAATAGTGTTTATAGCTTGAGAAACAAGAAAATCAAAGATGTAATCATTTATTAGAACCTTTCAGTGGCATTTCTCATTTGGCTGTTAGCTCTGCTTGCATTCACCATTGTTGTGAGCTTAGTCTTGTTTTGGGAAAGTCTCATTTACTTCCTCAGGATTTCTTTGTGCCCTTTTAATACACTGGATTTCTTTACAGTGAGGAAAAAAAACCAAACAATCAAACTCTGTTGACCACACTATGTACATTGTCTTTTAAAGAAATCACAATTTTAAAAGGTTCTGAATATGTTCGCTTTATGCTTTGCTTTGCCATAAATCAAGAGCATTTCAAATACCATCTTTTCAAAGCTATTCCAAATCTGAAATGACAATATTTGGCTAAACTGACAATGTTTCACCACTTGTTGTGTATCAGTCACCTTCTGGGTACTGCTAGAAGAATCCAATAAAAAGCAGTTTCGCAAGATGGTTCTCAGAATTTCTGCTGGTGTTTGCCTACAGACAATCAAAACTGGCTGATTTAATTCTCCTGCCTTGATGTTATTCCAAAACACAGTGTTTCCTAATGAGGGCTGGTTAAACATCTTCCTCAAAAATCTTTGTAACAAGTTTGATTTCCTGATACCAGTTTGAGTCTGAAAGCTGCCACCCTTCTCTATAAGATAAATTATTTTCCATGGCTAAGCAAGGCTAAGATGTCATCAGGATTTGGGGTTTTTTGTGTTTTTGGAGTGGGGTTTTGTTTTTGTTTTTTAGTTGGTTGGTTGTTTTTTTTTTTTTTTTCATTGTGATATTTAGTTTTTTAAAAATTTTATTGGGAGGAAAAAGAAAATAATTTCCATTGAAATTCAACACTAATGAACTCTTTTAACCGTAATGGATCTGGATCTGAATCTATGCCAGTGGTTTATGTGTGAGGAGAACTGGGCTATCAGTTATCTTTTTGCTAGGATAAATACTGTGCTTTAAGAGCTCTGTTGAATAACAAGTAGTATTGGAATAATAATAGCAAAATTTCAGGTTAGGAAAAAAAAAGGTTTATGAGAATCTCAAGAGAGAACTTCAAAAATGTTCTTAATTGTCAATGCTCATTCAGTTCCTTGTTGCTGTGTTTTCAAAGTTTTAAGTTATATGATGAAATCTGATGAACTCCCTTTAACTGAATGAAGATTTCACACACAGTTTACTGGGGAAAGTGAGAGAAGAGAGTGAGCAGGACTGGTGTGGGAGAGCTGTCACATAAGTTGCTTTTTTTTCCCTATGCTCTGAGCATGGAAGCCACAAAGAAGTGATCCAATGCCAAAATTAATACAGTGTTACAAAGGCTAGCTCCCTAGGTCCCTAAATGTTCTTTGCAGAGATTTAGCGTGTCCTGACATCATTCAAAACTTCCCTGAACTGCGGACCAGAAAAAGCTTATATACATACTACATGTCTTTTTATTATTTTTTTTTTTTTTTAAATTTAAAATCTAACTTGCCAGGACTGGCAATCCAGTATTTTAACTGTAATTGTTATATTTTTCTAAACTCCTATGCCTCACTGAAAATAAATGAAACTGGAATAAATCGCTTTGTCAACTCCACAGTCCTTAAGTAAGTTTAATGCTTACTGCTACCATTGGCATTCAATATCACTAGATATTTTACCTTGAATAATCACTGATGGACATTGATTTTGTCTTTGCTCTTCACAGCACAGCAAAATGAATGTGAAAGTCAGAGTTAAATGAGTCCCAGTGGTGTCCTCCACTCTGCTGAGAGTACCTTTCAGATACTGAAGAACTGGCAACCAGCTCAAACCTACAGTATCTTGTATTGCAACAATTAATGGATATGAATAGTTCTCACAGGGGGGATTCGGGTTACCTTTGTATCAACTTTAGAGGTTAGACTCCTGAAGCAGACAATGAGGTTAATGTATAGTACTTTATGAACTGATTAATCCTTTTCTTTAAATACAGTTAAAAGCTTTAGTTCTTTTCCTTTCTGAAAATTATTCTGAGTCACTTGCAAAGTGTTAACAATTGGGATTTAAATTATTAAAGAGTTTTGGGTCAGAAAAATATTATGTACTAAATAGTCTTTTTCTATTATTAACAAAGTGGTTGGCAAAGCAATACTGATAATTCAATACTTAAGAGATAATATTTTTATCTCTTAAGCTTAGAATGTGTTTGCAGGCTTCATTTAGGTCATAATCACATCATACAGCATAAATCCATGCTGGCTGTGAGGCCAAGGTTAGGCATGCATATATGACAGCAAAATGGATTATGAAAAATAAACATATAAATGAAGAAAGCATCTGGTTAACAGCTTTGAAGTCAAAGTCGTGGTGTGTATATATGTATCTGTGTGTGTGCTATGGGACAGATTTCTGCTTTGCTTCTCTACTCCAGTAGTGGACAGACTGGCCTTGTACCAACTGTAGGAGGTTTCCTGAGGACACACCAAAATGGCTCAGGGGAACCAGAGAGTAGCAATCCTTGTGGCTCTCTTCACAGTTGGTTTATGAAGAGCATGTGTTGACAAATGCTATGGGTAAGTGCAGAGTGGTGCATGCAGCCTCATGGGTACCAGATACTCCAGGGAGTGGGGAAGAAAGTAGGCAGGCTGCTTGGGACTGATTCTCAGTATTGCCAGCTACAATAGGTCAAAACTTACAGATATGCTCCGCAAAGACTGTGAGATTTAGGAAGAAGAAAGAAGAATGGTTTTAGATTCTCAGAACTCTCTGCTTGTCAGCATGTCAAAATATGGGGCCATTTCAACACAAACAATTGATTCTTAGGGCATACAAAAGTGTGTACAAAAGCACATTTCAGAGAGAACCAAGATTTCTGCCTTCACAGCGCACACAGCAAAACCTGCACCTGGAAGACAAGTTACCTGGGCCTAGGAAGTAACAGTAGAAATGAAAAAGAATAAAAGTAGGGAAGAAAGATTTCAGAGTTTGGTATTGCAGCTCTTGCAGTGGGCAGTCTCTGATTCTGCTTTTCCTGGCTTACTGGTGCTCAGGGATTTTCTTTGCCACTATCAAACCACTGATCCTTATACAAAAGCAATGGTTCAGGATGGAGCAAGGGTTCTTCCAAGGACTTTTATCCAGCACAGGAGGCAGCCTGAGAGGGAAACCTCTTCTGCAGGAAAAACTCATTCCTGAACAGACATTTTCAGGTTCAAACACATTTTTTGCAGCTTTGATTAAAAGGTTTATTGAAAACCTGGTCTAAGACTTTAGTGCATTTCAGTGTGAAATCATCAAGACATGCCACTGCAGAAAACATCCTGCCTGCAGGAAGCACAGTGAGCGTTAAAGAGTGTGCATGGGGTATGAACTCTGGTTTCAAACTTCAGCTGTTGTTCTTGACAGCCTCCTACTTCGGCAGTAACTAATATGAGGCAACAGGATATTTCTGTCACTGATTTCTGCCTGCTGTCTGCACAGAGAGGGAGAACTCAGCATAGCATCATGCCAGCTCTTTTTTCCTACTTTTTTTTTTTGTTTAGTTTCAAACTTCTCTACAAGTAAATGATTGGAAAGTTAGTGATATGTGCAAAGAACATTTTTTCAATTAGTGATGCCCATTAGCTGAATGAATATGAAGAGCTGGTATTTTTCCCCCTGAATTAGCAGGTACACATATGGAATTTGGGCTATAAATCATTACTTAATAATTCACTAGAAAATAAATATGACATAAAAGATAATTAGAGATTTGTACCACTTGCCTTCACCTTAATTATGAATGAAAGATATTTGGCATTGTCTGCAGGACTGTTAAATTTTGTTATATTGAGATGGGTCTGGGAAAGGAAGATACAGCAAAATCATTTTATGAAAGAATATCGCTTCTGGCAGAGTGGGTTCTGTACATCATTGCAGGAAAGGTATCCAACAGTTATGATCTTAAAATCTAAATGCAATGTGCTGGAACAAGACTGGTGAACAGGTTTGTTTTGCTATTTCAGTAATGACCTGTTGCCGGGCTCACAGAAACACATATGCCAGCCAATTTCATCGAAACAAAATTAATATTATATCTCCATGCTGTAATAATAGTTAACTTTGGCAGAGCAGAAACAGTTGGATATACTTTTGTGTTGCAGGATTTGGTGGAGATACCTGGAGACGCATTGTATACTAATCATATAAATTCACAATGGATTTGAATACTCTGCTGTAATAGAAACAACCACAGTATGAAACACAGCTTTTTTCTTTGCCTAGGCTTTGCTGACTTTACAGCAGGAGACAGATAGTTAGTCCTGCTCTGTTCCCTTTGCTGCTATTAAACAGCGAGGTAAGAATTTCCCTTGTATAGCTGGGGCTGTATATAAAGGTATTAGAGATGCCTGTGTACTGCAATTTCTCTGTTTCTGGTCACATCCTCTCCCAGCTTAGGAGACAGACAAGTCCAACAAGCATGTTGTACCTCAACATGTGCTGATGATGGAATGGCATCACTGATGTGTCGCTGCCTGAAGAAATTGGGTCAACCTTCTAAGCGCCTTCTCTTGAAAAACCCAAAGCAGCCCTATCCCAACAATCGGGGACTGCAAAGGAATATAGGTGCCAGGAGGCTGGCTGAAGCATAGTAAGTGTGCTGGTCTAGTTCATACATACTACTGTGAATGTACACTTTCAGTCCAGAATGGAAGATTGTGTTATCCAGAGTGATGGACAGAAAAAAAAAGACTTAGATTCACCTGCAGTCATCTCCACACTTCCTGTAAATAGTAGCTGTAAGGTGCAGAAAAAAAATGGTCTTTCTGCTCTAGGTCTATACTCAGGAATACATTGCCTGCTTTCCTTTAGTTTGAGAGGGTTGGAGGGCTGCTCCTTTAGCTCTGCATGTTTATGGCCACGCTCCCCCAATAGCACAGCTCCTGACAAACATGGCAGTCTTCTAAAAAGTACCAGTCTTTTCAGCCACTGCCTGCTTCAGTAAAGGGACAGAACTTTGGAGTGAGCTTAGAGAACTGGGAGACATTGGCAGATGGGTAGATCTGGAACGTTTTACTGTCTTTCACTCTTGCTGTATCAGAAATAACCCACTGCACAGTTTTTATCTGCAGTTTTCCTAAGAACTTTGGACTAGACCCAAATAGACTGAATTAGAGTGCATCAGCCTGGAACAAAGACAAGCCAGACCATCATCGGAAAAGATTAAGAAGAGCCTTTCTGCTGGCTGGAGATGAAGAATTTTGTTCTGGTGGTTTTTGACACTACAAAGGCAGTATGATGCCAAGAATGGACTAGTACCAATTGCTGCTTTACCTGCATCATCCAGGGTGAATGGATGGTGGTATTATGCAGAGGTTCTTTAACACACATTATTTCTGTTAGGCTTTGATTCATTTAGTTGTTCCTGGTGTTTTGCATTTTACTTATTTATTAGTCAGACTCTGATGTCTAGTCTCCACTGAAATGGCACAGTCAGAGTTGGATAAACAAATTCTGTGAGTAGCCTGTCAAAGACACGTTGGCAGTCACTTTCAGAGTATCCCTTGATGGTTCTACAGAGATGTCAAGTAAGAGTAGTGGCAGGATTGACCCATGGCAGTTCTGCTTGTCAGGGCAGGTAGTGTGCTTTAAGGTTGTAGAAATAACAGACACTTTGCTTATCACACTGCCGGATGTCATAAGGGAAGCAGTGAACAACACCTAGGATTTGCCATTAATTGAAGAAACAGTTTCCTATATTCAGTAAGTTTCATTATAGGAGGTGGAAATACTTTAAAAAATTGTCTGCTAATGCAGACAATAATCCTATTGACAAGTAACAGAGTTTAAAGCTCCAGCTTTCATTGCAGCTACAAACATAAGACTAATGTATTTTTGAATCTGTGAACTTGCAAGTATATATGATAACAGTTGGGAAGCAGGAATAGCAGACTACCACAAGAAACTCATCTCCTGATGGGGTCACAATATGTATTGAGAATAATAGGTCTTCATTTATGCAAGGTGCTTAAGCATTCGTACTAATTGTAACCATGATAGTAGTCCCACCGATTTCAGCTGGTGATTACCATTAGGCACATGCTTAAGTATCTTGCAAAATTAAGGTTGAGAGATAGTTCTGTGAGTTAAAAAAGCTGTTACGATCTCAGACTTTAATGTTCTTTCCCAAATCCAACTAGATTTATAATCATTTTGAAGTTTTCCCCCTCATTGCAAGTGAAATATCAAAGTGATAAAAATATATCTTTTTGAAAGAGATCTGGGCATACACAGGCTTTTTGAGATGTAGATTGAATGTATGATCATGCTTCTTCTACTTGCTACCCCAGGCACCCACAAGATACTGCTAGATACCAGTTCTTCAGAATCTGCTCTTGGGTTTTCTTGTGTCACTTGTTTTTCACTTAGGCAGAAAGTCTTTGTCCTTTTTTCTTCTGAGATCAGAGGAATTCTATGCTTACAGTGGCTGGTTTGGTTTAAAACCTTTGTAGTTCTGGCCTTTTGGCACTGACCTTCACAAACTAAAGGCTGAAAGGCCCTGAGCATTTGCACATCTGCAGTTAGCATGTGTCGCTGTTTAGCCATTGGGTTGAGATAAGAAAAATATAATGATGTAAATAAAGATAAGAAAGATAATAATAATTATTGTAATAATAATGAAAAAATAGAGAGGAATAAAATACAAGAAAGACAAGTGATGAACAATGCAACTGTTCACCACGTGCTGACCAATGCCCAGTTTATCCCTGAGCAGCAATCCTCCCCTCAAACCAGCTCCCTCTAGTTTATATATTGGCCATGACGTGCTGCAGTACGAAACATCCCTTTGACTAATTAGGGTTAGGTGTCCTGGCTGTGCTCTCTCCTGGCTTCTTATGCCCCTCCTCACTAGCAGAACATGAGAGACTGAAAAGTCCTTAATCAGGGTAAGCATTACTTAGCAACAACTAAAACATCAGGGTGTTATCAATCAGCATTGCTTTCAGACTAAAGCCAAAACACAGCACTGCACTAGCTACTAGGAAGAAAAATAGCTCTACCCCAGCCAAAACCAAGACAATGTGTATTTACTGCATTCATGTGTGTGAGGGAGTACGCTTGTCAGTAAGTAACAAGTCCAAAAGGTAATGTAAAGGTATACATGGATTTGGTAGGTCAGACTGAAAACCTTGTCAGCTAGATCAAACACTTAGAATTAGTGGTCTTAACTCTTGGGTTTTTTTGTGGCTTTTTGTTGTAATAACTTAAGGAAACAACAAAACTCCTGAAAGTCAGCCATCTATGATTTCTCCTGCTCTAATTTGTCTCATGGGAAAAACTTACCAGGAGATTCTAACAGAGTCAGCTTCTTTCAGGAAGTAACATCTTGATTTCTGTGAAGCACAGCATTGAAAAGCAATCAATTCACATGCGTCTTGGCTGCCTGTACATATGCTGGTCATGTATTCGCTCTGGAACAGTTTTTTTCATGGCTTCAGCTAAAGAAGATAACTCCAGGCAGAACCAGCTCTTCCAGCTAAGTCCTCACATCTGTGATCTGCAGTGCTCCTGCCAGGCATTAGAGCAGATCATTTACTATGTGGATTTGTTACTCTGCCCTTGATTCAGTCCTTCCTTTCTCTTTCCTTTTGCAGGTGCCCTGCAGTTTGCAGACAAGGCTTCTGAACAAAACACAGGGTAAAAAGTAAGAGAAAAGAAGGCAGCACAGCACAGGCAAGGACATGGGATAAAATTGTATTGGAGAAAATAAGCCTTATTAGGAGTTCAAGTGTCTAAATCCTTATTTCATATAATAAAGAAGATAGATATTAAAAGTTTTCTTTTTGACCACTGGTGTCAATTTTAGCTACAGATAACACAGGAATTCAAGTGCATCCCACTTGCAAGGCACTGTGCAATTGAATTCCCTTGTACTTCAGTGTATAGGGTTTCCCTTGGAGGAGGTCACTAGTAGGGCAAGAGGCACTCAAATGTGCCACCTGTGCTTCACAGTAATGGGCCAGATTGCAATTTCCTCACTGATACTGATGAGCAATAATTTATGTGAGTAATTCTATTGTAGAAGGGTCCTAATTTTACCAACATTACATCTCTAAGTCTGGCAACAACCACCTGTGGGCTTCCTCTCTGTCCTTTCTGTGTTCTCACCCTGCCCCAGACTTCCTCAGTACTCTTATTTATTTTCATTAACATCACTTTCACATAGATGATCTTGGGTTGACTTATCATCAAGGAGTCTTTCTAGTGCGCCTGCTTCTCTAGGGAAAATGCAATAGCAGTTTCAGCTACAGGCACCCAGCCCTACAAATTCCACTTTTCATCACTTTCCCTTTCTTAAATTTATCTCCTTCACTTGCATGACAGTCATATTTCCTCTTTACCTGTGCTACCACTTCGGTTCTCAGTGTATCAGTGCACCAAATAACAAAGATAAAAATATCATCTGTAAAATCAACATGGTGTTCTGTAAGGAGCTAGGTGTGGTATTGCTCAGCATTCTCTGTAAATTATTTCTTCCCAATTTTCCTTTTCTTTTATTTTGCTTTGCTATAGGTTTGTTTTCATTCTTCCTTTTTCTCTTCTCTGCTGCTCATTTCTGCCCTTTTGTCCTTGTCTTCTGTCCTTTGATATTATATTTCATATCATGTGATCCTCACAGTTTCTGATGTAAAATAATAAAGTGGGACATTAGTCAGCATGCAGACAGCCTTCAATTTCTCTTTCAGTAAGCTAATTCCCTGTGTTCCTGACAGTGGCTTGCAGAAGCAGCTGGAGTATATGTTCTTAACAGGCAGAGCATATGCTCAAACACGTAATGAGAAGCCTTCCTTTTATATTTCCTCTAACATTGTGCTGTGCCTTTGCAACAAGTAGTAGAAGGAGGATGGGAAAACCCATTCTATATGATTTGAAGTGCTGAAACACAAAAGAAGTAACTATCAGATTTACCATCAGTAAGAAAAGACTGCCAAAAAGACTAGGACAGAAAAGGATCTCCAGAATGATTTTTCAATTTCTGCTCTGCTAAAAAGGATGTACAGTTACTGCTTAGTCTTAGCTTATGATCTCTTGCCAGTACCAGCTGATTTTCTGAAATGGAGGATAAGAGATGCTGACAGCTGTGCCCTGTACAGAAACTGCCAAACTGCAGCACAATCTTGTCAGGCTGCCATGTGGCTTTAGGCCAAACAAGATATCGATGACACATATAATGAGATACTAAAAGAAATAGCATGTATCATAGATTCTGAGGAGAACTGGCAGAGCATAGGGACAGCCTTATGTTCCTAAACACAGTATAGTGTAATACTAGACAGTTAGATCTTTATTATAACTAGGTTTCTGAACCTGAAAGGGAAGAAAATATGAAATGAAATGAAATACCCAGGTCAAATGAAAAGAACAATGAGTTACACCAGAGTGATCTTGCTGCAGTGATGCCTGACTGTGGTTTGCAAGTAGGGAAAACTGGCTGTAGAAAAGAAAAGGTGTGGAGAGAAGCAAGCTAAAGGTACATAGGAGTGACAAGGCAGCAGAAGCATAAACTCAGATTTGGAAATGAAAAGAAGGGGAAAATAGAAACTGTTATAATATAATAGATACAGTCATTTAATTTAAACCACTAAAGCCACAAGAAACAATGGAACAGAATGAATTAGGCCAATTAGGAAGAATTAAAATCCTGAAAACGCTAACATGTCCTGGAAGATGTTATTCTTTATCTAAGCTAGATAAAGAATGTATTGAATTCCTGATAGATGATCAGAAAGGGAATCTGAGAAAGTACTTGTAAAGTGAAAATACAGCTGAAAAGCTCTGTTTTCTCTGTTTATATTCAATCTGTATTGGGTGAAGAGCATTTCAGTTAGCCTAAGTTGGAATTCTGTCCTGTAGCCAAAGGTAAATACAGATCTTAGTGGCTGCTGCCTTTGCCTTATAAATAGTCACAGCCTCTCTGTCTCATAGAATCACAGAATAGTTTAGACTGGATGGACTTTCAAAGGTCATCCAGTCCAACCCCCTGCAATGAGCAGGGACATCTTCAACTTGATCACGTTGACCAGAGCCACATCCAGCCTGGCCTGGAATGTCTCCAGAGATGGCATATCCAGCACCTCTCTGAGCAACCTGTGCAGGATTTTACCACATTCATTGTAAAAGAAATGGCTTTTGATGGCATATGTCAGTACATCAGGATTCTGAGACAATACGCTGCATTTAATACCTTTGCTCTTTGGATCTTTACTGTTAGGAGTCTCCAGCAGTCTGCTTCCCTGGAGTGTTTTAATTCCTTGCTGTCTCCTCAAAGTCTGAATTTCTGCCTGGTTCCAGAGATTTATCTCTGAAACTTTACCGTCTCCTGAGAGATCTACAAGAATTGTACATGTACTACCAGTGTTGTAACCCCTGTGGTATAACACACTGAATTGGCTGTATTACAGATCCTTCTAGCAGAAAAAAAAAAGAGAAACCCTGGCTATATCCTCACTGGCAGTGGACCAGAAGCCTTGGCAATGCTACTCAATCCAATGGGAAATTCTTGTGAAAGGAGCACTCATCCATTATTGTTGAGTTTTTTTGAAGTGGAAAGAGGTTTGTAAATGCCATGGATTTCTTTCTGCTTTCAGTAGGCCATTAGAATACAGTTCTCCTAGCTGCCTTCCACGTATGCCTGAAAATCACCAATTAATCTAGTCTAGTTTCTTCTGTAATGCTTGTTTTTATGATCTCCCCGTGTCAAAAAATCTGTACTGCATCTGGTAGGAGGAAATGGGTCCAGAAAGCTTCCTAGGTTTTCTGTTCTGTACAGAACTCAGCCATAAGCAGATCTAGAATTTTACTCCCAAGCAGTTTATTGCCATAACAGACATCTCTGTCTAGTGACCCACAGGTGCCAAGGCCTTCTTTCTCCATAATGCTGCCTTGCTGGCCACAGCTCAATTCAGACTATACCTTTTATTATGAATAAGCAAGCATTCCCATCACAAGTGCCATGTTCCTAGTCCTCTGTTTTGGAGTAGGTATCTTTGGTAAGCTTTGGTGCAGCTAATGGCAAGATGCTGTATCTTGCATGTAAGCAAATACCTCCCCCCTTCCTGCATACTTTACTTTTCACCCCAGACAAGAGACACATGTTTTTCTTGAAAAACTATAAAAACATGGTGACTTCATCAGTAAATTAGGATATCTACATCAGTGGGTGTATTACCTTGACATTTGTACTGTGCTCATGCTACAGACTTTTCTGTACAAATAGAAACAAGGATCCTGAGACGGCCCCTACTGCACATGAGTAATAAAATCTTCTAGGTAAATCTTCCTCTTGGACTTGTGTCTTGCTTCAGTAGGTTGCTTTTGAAGCAGCAGCTCTGTCAGCAGAGCTGACAACAGGCACAAAATTTAAGACTCAACAGAGAACTCCTATAATGCTCATGGTTCCTGATCTGCATAGAAAGTAGATGTCTGAACAGGACCAGTAGTCCAGGCTTTTGGAACAGTGATCCCAATTCGTTCTTTATAACCTCTTCTTTGTTTTAGATTCCCTTCTTAACTCTCTTCCTAATGGTCATGAATTTCCCTCCTCAAACATGCAAATACCCACACACTATTTAATCTGGAAATGAGCAGAAACAATTTACATGTCTTATGAATTATACATATTACCTCTTTTTTCCTTTTGCACCTTATGCATTTGAAATTCTCGATCTATAAGAGAGGTTATGGAAAGTACAGAAAGTTGTTTGTGCTGCTTCACATGGTAAAATGGCTTCACAATTGCCTCATGTTTTTTACAATAAGCCTTATGTCCTGCTGATGGAGTCCTTGGTAGGGATCTGTGTATGCAGTTGGAGGTGGTGCTCTCACTGCAGTTTAGTGTGGTTAAGCAGTTACAGCATCCAACTGCTTACTACTGCTTTCCGTTTTCCTACAGAGGTTATATACCCTTTGACACTGGTAGTGTAACTCTATGTGAGATTGCTTACTTGCCCAGTTCTATGAAAATTATCTAGGCTTATTAACCACACTTAACAGCAAGGTTTTTAATCTGGTTTATTTCTCTACAAGTGGGTTAGGCAAACTATGCACTTAAATCATCCAGTACGAAGGGTGACATTTTCCAAGGTAGAGAGTGAAGAATATACGTGGTAGATGAAGATGATGAGCAGCAGGAGACGATGATGACTGGGGTAAGCTCTAGCTGAAACAGATACGTCTGGCCACTGCCTGACCTGTCACAGCAGTTCAGGTTTCTGTGGCAGAGTTCTTTTGTTGTGATTTTAATCTTTCTCTTGTATAAAGCCATGAAAGGAAACATTAAAGGAGCTTCCCAATAAGTCTGACATAGACTGAGCAAAACAGTCTCTGAATCAGAAAAATATGCCCTGGAAGAGATTTCTGGAGGTTATCTGTTCCAACCTCCTGCCTGTTGCAGGGTTACTGCTAATGTGGGTCAGGACAGCTGCAGGTTTTTCTGGCCAAGCCTTGAAAGCCTCCACAGATGATAACTCCCCTTTATCTCTGGATAACTTCTTTCAGTGTTGCAGTACCCTCAAATTGAAGAAATTTCACCTAATCTCCATCTGGAGCCTTCCAGGCTGCAATCTGTGGCTCTTGCCCTTTGTTTTAACATCTGAATCTACTGAGGTTGGCTCTGTCATCTTTGTAATTTCCTTCAAAATAGTTGTAGGCTACTGTTAGATTGTCCTTTAGCTGCCTCTTCACCAGACTAAACAAGCCCAGCTGCCTGAGTCTCTGCTTATGGGTCATACGTCAGAGGTAATTTTCGTAATTGTGTTTCTCCCCAGTTTCTCAACAT